GTATATTTTTGTATGGTTGTTATGGTTATATTCTCATTTTTTCGGTCTCATTTGATAGAATGAAAGATATATTACAGAAATAGATATGATTTTGATTGCTTTCATGACGAAAAGTACCTTGAAATTGCGCTCACAGTAGCGAAAATGTTCTATTCTTTAGCGAATCTCAAGAGTAAACAAATGACGTCACCGTCCAATACCTGTCTGCCTGCCAGTCCAAATTCCAGTACAGAGTCAAGAATGGATTGACATTATTTATACAATTATTACAATAATGCAGCATTCTGCATAACAGTAAATCTTCTATTTTTTTGTGAATAAAAATTCCAAATGGTAAGCAAGAGTAATATAAGAGGGGCCTGTAGCCGTGACTAGTGAACAGAGAAAATGTTATTTTAGTGCCAGGAATGTCTGCATTGTTTATTCTGGACCCTATTTTGAAATTGGCATCTGTTGAAATTTGTGTGAAATCGACCAAATTGCCTATTTCTGACCACTTTATTGAGTAGTTGAAATAAGTGAATGGGCGATTTCTTGTACTCAGTTGACAGACTAGAAGTAAATAAGTTTATTCAGGTATACACAAATACAGTTACATAGATTATCATACATAGCAGTGTATGTATAGAGAACCTAGGATAACCCAGAAAAGTCAGTGACTTAATTCCAGTACCTGGCTTGGGCTTGCCATATATGATTTTTGGTAAATATTTTTTTTTCTCGGTTGTTTGTTGGGCTATCTCATTTAAACTTGGGCAATGTATGATGGAAAGATGCTTCTTAAGGTACAACAAAAATAAAAATGACAGACGATAAATAAGGGAGTTCACTTCTCAGCCATTAGCCGCCTCTTTGCAGTATATTTTCGTATGGTTTTTATGGTTGTATTCTCATTTTTTGGACTCATTTGATATAATGGATGATATATTACAGAAATAGACATGATTTTGATTGCTTTCGTGATGAAAAGTACCTTGAAATTGAGCTCAAAGTAGCGGAAATGTTCGATTTTTGCCGATGTTCAATGAACTGTGTAAGTCAAGTTGGTTAATTTTATTAAGTGTATTCTAACTTAACCACTATGTAGTTCAGCAAACTCGGTAATCCGGCACACTACAGGTCCCAATGATGCCGGATTTGTGATGGAGGACCTGTATTATTACTATTGTTTTATTATTATTATTATTATTATTATTAATAATACATATGTATTATAATTTTTATTATTATTACTTTAGGGTACTGGAGCACAAATCCAATTCCCTTAATCAAGAGCCCATCACCACGTACATATTAATAATAATAATTATAATACAGTGTAATAATAATAATATAATAGTAAGGAGAAACTTCAAAAGGCTGCCAGTAGTTGGCACCACCATCAGCAAAACATTGGTAACCACTACTAGTACACTTTTCACTTGTCTAGACTTTAGTCTATTAGTATTAGGTTAAGTCTGCCCGAAATGCCTCGGCATTATAGTGGCTTTCTTTACTCCAATCATATTATGATATGTAAACACACATTGTAACCTTTGCAAAGAAATAAATATTTTATTTATTTATTTATTTAAGGAACCTCCCTTGAGGGGGAAGTTCTTATGCTGAAATTTCGTTTGTATCCATAAATGGCAAAAGTTATTAATGAATGCAACTTATGGAATGCAATAAAGATGATTATTTCTGATACAACAAACGTTAACACAGGGAAAGAGAATGGAGCTGTTTTCATACTGCAACGAATGTTCTCAGAAGTTGATTAGCAAACCACAATTTATCAGTTGTCAGCATCAAGTTTTGGACAGGATTCTGTTTGGATGAAAATCGTGGTGCTAAAACCAGTTCTCAAAACATTGAGTATCAGTTTGTATCCCAGTTGGTGAAGAATTGTGAGGAACTAAAGGCACAGTTTGTTAATGGAACAGAAGAGATCCTCCATAAATCAAGATGGAGAGAGATGAAGTTTTTGTACCATGTAACATGAGTGTTTAGATTCTTTAAAAAAAAAAAAAAGAGCACTTTGATTAACTTTCAGAAAATTCCAAACATCAGCAATGCGAGGTGGAATTCAAGAGCCATTCTAGCTATTCTTGCATTCATTCTTATACTTAAAAGATGGAAGACTTTGGAGAAGATATGCAGATTCATTTCATACACCTGGACAGATTATTGGTTTATTGATCAGATGTACGATGAAAATTCCTTCAAGAATTTGTCAGAAATATTGAAACCTTGCAAAAAAAAGCACTGAACTTGTTGAAAAATCATGAGGCAGGAGCCGTCCGCACTCAATATACCAAGTAGTAATCAGTGTGCTGAACGTGCAGTCAAAGTTATGCAGGAATTGTATGCTGCTGCAGAAAAAAAAAAACTGCAACTTTGCTTTATTCTAAGCAATGAGTAGTAATATATGTACAAACATGATAACAATGATGCTGTAAGTTGTTTTATTTGTTATTAATATTACTTGCAATATGCATTCAAGTAACTTGTTTTCATTACTCATTCTTTTCATTTAAGGGTGACATTTTCTAAAAAGATATTGAAATGATAGGTCATTTCTTGCTTTTAGGCAATGTTCATCTGATTAAGGTACAGGAATATTACGTTGTAAAAAAGTATAACCTTTCCACGCTCTCTGCTAATCCCTGAGTACCTTCCCCTCTTTCATACATTTATTGAACAAAAGTACCAACCACTCCAACGCTATATCTCCCTTCCCCTGTTTTTAACACTTCTGTCATATTGTCAGTTCCAGCTGCTTTGCCTCCTTTTATTCTACGTAATGCCTCGCACACCTCCCTCACAGTGGCATCCTGCTTGTCACTCCTAAAATAAAGTGTAGACATTTCTGGCACCAAAACATTTCTTCAGTTCATTAATCATGTCCCTAGTCCCCTCCTATATTACACTTGCCTTTCATTTTGAATTAATTTTCACACAAAAATAGATTCTCTATTTTTTGGATGAAATATAACCAAGAATGATTTGGTCATCGTTTATAGTGTCCCAATAATTTACTTAGACCTATTAAAAGCCCGGTACTCCAAGGCCTGGTGGCTAAAGCTCTCGCTTCACACGGTGAGTTTCCGAGTTCGATTCCTGGCGAGGGTAGAAACATTGAGCGTGTTTACATCGGTTGTCTGTTCCCCATCAGTAAAATGGGTACCTGGGAGTTAGTGACTGATGTAGGTCGCATCCTGGGAGAAAACTGACCTAATTTGCCTGAAATTCTCTGCATAACAAGCAGCTTTCTATGTAGTAGTATGTTACTGATGTCAGCTAGGCTTTGTATACCTTGTACATGTACTTGTAGAAATAGATACATGTATTATTATAAATAGACTAGGGGGTTTGTAGATGCGCCTTGCTTGTGCTCAGAAAATAAAATGAAATCATCTGTTTCAGTAGTATGTTTTCCATTCTATCAAATGATACCAAGAAACTGCCAACAAAACCTTAAAACCCACCTGAGAAAACACCTCAAAGTTGCTCTTTTAAACCATATATACGGTCACTTTTACTTTTAACATCCTGTACCAATTAGTGTAGTATTTTTTTATACTATGCCCATATTACTGTATACTAATGGCTCATTTCAAGGCAGGTGAAATTACTGACCTGGAGAGTGTACAGGGAGCCTTCACGGCACACATAAGTACGTATGATAAAACACCTAAATTACTGGGAACAGTTGAAGTTTCTTGAATTGTACTCCCTGGAATGCAGGCAGGAAATATACATGATAATATACACCTGGAAAATCCTAGAAGGATTAGTACCAAATTTGCACATGAAAATCACTCCTGCGAAAACAAAAAACTCTGCCGGTAGTGCAACATCCCCTAATGAAAAGCAAAGGCTCCATGAGTACACTGAGACAACACAATAAGTGTCAGGGGTCTAAGGTTGTTCAACTACTTCCCAGGATACATAAGGGGAATTATCAATAGATCCCTGGCTATTTTCAAGAATGTGCTGGATAGGCACCTAAAGTAAGTACCTGACCAGCTGGGCTGTGCTTCATACATCAGGTTATGTGCAGCCAGCAGTAACTGCCTGGTTGATCGGGCCCTGATCCCCCATGAGACCTGGTCACACACTAGGCTGCTGGGGCATTGACCCCCCCAAAACCCTCTCCAGGTATACTCCAGTTATACTTTCACCAGTCCCATTGTCTCATATCTAGGTCAAAATTTACCACACAGCTTATCTGAGTGAACTCAGCTCATGACTTAGATCTGCAAGAGGGACCCTGGCCTCAGTAGTGTGGTTCCAAGTGATGGTCACTGAAAGGGTTACAATAGGGCTCAACGTTGGTGAAATCTCTGTTGTATAAAATGTGTTTAGACCTCTAATTTTGTGCCTGTGTAATTCTATATATTTTCCATGTTTTTTTTTTTTTTTTTTAGTTCATCTCACTACCTTCAGGAAAAGATTCTCTGTCATTTCAGATTTTGTTTATTATTTTGAAAAATGTGAACACTGGAGCACTTGATTTTGGGAGTTTGGACAATGAAAGGGTTAATAATAACAACATATAGTAATAAAGCCTGGGTTATGTTTGCAGCCATTGTCTGGTGTATAATTTGTAACATTCATGTAGAGTTTCTCAGTTTACTGAGTAAAGTTGGTTATTATATCATTTTGCATTGTGATCACCTTTTTTTTTTATTCTTGTTACGTCACAAGTTTGTGTAATTTACTCATTATCGAAACCTATGTAGATATTCCTTCCACAACTAGGGGAAGGGACAGCAATCCCCACAACCATCACCAGGTCGACCTCTTTGCAGTAGCTTCTATGTATTTGTAATTGGCTGATTGGGGCTGCAAACACCAGTACCCTATCCCAGTGTTTACTCACAATGAAATACTACGACTTTTTCCTTTCCACATTTTTCTGTAAGCAAGATGTTGAAAATGTTATATATAGCCTCAGTACAAAATACAGGCAAAACATTTTTTTTTTTTTACATTGTCCTTTCATTTGACACCAGGGTGATGAGAGACGGCCCAATGTGGATATTGGACCTCCTGCCAATAAGATGAGGCGTATGGAATGGGTAAGTAAAAAAAAAAAAAAAAAAAAAAATTGATTCCTGTTTTTTATAATTTGGCAATTTTCTTTTTGGGTTATATTTAACAGCATACCCTTCAATATTTAAGTCTCATTCCATAATTAAAAATCAGTTCATGTGTAAAACTGGGTCACTTGGTGATGTGTTAGGGGGCAAGCAATCCTTACCTTGTTTTTGCTATGTTTTTTATATAAAATAGTAGAATTAACTACATCACACTGCTTAGCTTGCTCCTTAGATTTTATTGTAATATAGTACAGTATTTTCCATGTTTATGTGAATAGTAAGAAATTGGGTGCTTCGTAAATAATAAATTTGCCAAAGAAGCCAGTTATGAGTGATGAACCAATAAAGAAGGCTGAATCTTACATTTCAGTGGTATGGGTATATGAGAAATATGGTGTTAAGAAACTGCCTAATATCTGTAGAACCAAGGACAAACTATGCTCTTAAGTTTGGTGTAGATGGCCATTAACTCTGATTGTTTCGGCTGTATATGTACGTCGTACGAGCCACCATTTCGGATGTATATATACTCGATAATTCTAGCAGCTTCAAATCAAGCAGGAGAAAGCTGGTAGGCCCACATGTGAGAGAATTGGTCTGTGTGGTCAGTGTGCACCGTATAAAAAAATCTTGCAGCACTCGGTGCATAATGAGAGAAAAACTCCGACCGTGTTTATGGATTAAAACGCCGACTTTGAGATGTACATGTATTTTTCTATAGTATTTATGGTTGTATTCTTGTTTTCTTGGTCTCATTTGATAGAATGGAAAACATATTACAGAAATAGGGATGATTTTGATGAGTTCAACGATGAAAACGACCTTGAAATTGAGCTCAAAGTAGCGGGAATGTTCGATTTTTACCAATGTTCAAGAGTAAGCAAATCACACCACACGTCCAATACATGTCAACTGAGGAGTCTAATGTTCTTTCACTAGTGCACTGATATTATTTATACCATTTTTACAATAATGCGGTAGTCTGCATAACAGTAAATCTTCTATTTTTTGTGAATAAAAAATCAAAATAGAAAGCAAGAGTAATGTAAGAGGGGCCTGGAGATGTGACCAATGAACAGAGGATGTGTTATATTAGTGCCAAGAATGTCTGCATTGTTTATTCTGGACCCTAATTTGAAACCGGCATCTTTTTTAATTTGCATGAAATTGGCCAAATTGCCAATTTCTAACCACTTTATTGGGTAGCTCAAATCGGTAAATGGGTGGTTTCTTGTACTCGATTGATAGAAAAAATGGAGTTCTAAAGAAACAGCTTTGAGTTTGGTCAACTGGAACAACAGAATTGGCCAAAAATAGGGCTCAAAATTGGCGAAATCGCCAATGCGTATGTCGCTGAGACCGCTAACTTCACGGGAGCGTAATTCAGTGAGTTTTCGACCATATTTCGTACTTTTGGTGTCATTACCATTGGGAAAAGATTCTCTATCATTTCATAAGAATTTTTTTTTTTCCAAAAATTTTTCAACATAGAATGATAGTTTCAGAAAGGGTCTTGCAACAGTCAAAGGGTTAAGCTGTTAACCCTTTCATTTTGTCCAGACCTATTGTCCAAGAATTTAAAAAAAAAAATTTTCTTATGAAATGGTAGAGAATCTTTTTCTGAAGATAATAAAATGAAAACCAAGGTTGGTAGACAGCAACGACCCAGGGAGGTACTACTGTCCTGTCAAGTGAGTGTAACAAGGAAGCCTGTAATTGTTTTACATGATAGGATTGCTGGTGTCTCCTTTTTTTTTTTTTTTTTTTTTGTCATAAACAATGCAAGGTTTCAGGTATGTCTTCCTACTTCTTACATTTAGGTTACACTACACATGCATGTACAAGCATATATATACACACACCTCTGGATCTTCTAGCTTCTTACTAGTTCTTGTTTATTTCCGCTTACCTCCATAGAGAAATGGAACAGAATTCTTCCTCTGTAAGCCATGCGTTTCGTAAGAGGCGACTAAATTTCCGGGAGCAACAGGCTAATAACCTCTTCTCCAGTATACATTACTAATTTTAAAAAGAGGAACTCGTTTTTCTTTTTGGACCACCCTGCCTCGGTGGGATACGGTTGGTTTGTTGCAAGAAAGAAGAATAAAACAAAAAGTACAACGTTTGATTGAAAATTGACGGAAGTTACGCTTTCACGAATATTGCTGTCAGCGATATTTGCGCATCGGCTATTTTGCCCACTTTGAGTCCTATGTTAGGCCAATTACATTGTTCCAGTCTACCAAATTCTTAGCCATTTCACTAGTATGTCTTCCATTTTTATCTGCTGAGGTCAATTAATCGTCCAATCAACTACCCAATAAAGTGATAAGAAATTGGTAATTTGGACAGTTTTACACGAATTTCAAAATAGGGTCCAGTATAAACAGTGCAGGCATTCCTGGCACTAAAATAACATTTCCTTTGTTCATTAGTTTTGTTTCCAGGCTTTACACATGAATTCCATTTTGATTTTCTATTCATACAAAAAATTTTCATTCATACACGGATGATGATTTACTGTTATGGAATATTGTAATACATAATTGTATAAATAATATCAGCACATTCATGAACACACATTAGACCCACCAGTTGACATGTATTGGATGTGTGGTGTGATTTGTTTACTCTTGAACATAGGAAAAATCTAATACATATTTGTGTTATTTTGAATTCAATTTCCAACTACTTTAAGTTGTGAAACCAGTCAAAATTTTCTTTTTTTGTAATATATCTTCCATTCCATCAAACAAGACCAAGAAACTAAGAACACAACCATAGAAACCACATGAAAATTCACCACAAAGTTGGTTTAAAAACCAACTTTGTGGTGAATTTTTGCACGTTTTTTCTTGTTACGCGATGCACGTTGCAGGATTTTTTTTTTATATTAGGCACACTTGCCACATTGACCCATTCTCTCGTATCTAGGCCCAGATTTACCGCTTACAGCTTATCTGAATGAGCCAAGTTCCTCATGTACTACGGTACGACCAGTGAACTCAGACGTAGTACTATGGCACAGTCAGCGACAGGGTTAACTATTGGACTTCATCCATTAATGCAAAAGACAATTGGATGCTAAGAATATGGGCATTATAACTGATAATACTAGTAGAGTACTATGCCATACTGTAATTTTGTAGTACTATATGGAATTCAAAGTAATTTTACTTTTTCATGAAGTGAGGTGCAAACTGCCGTAATCAGTAGTGGCAACTTAAAGTAACTTTTATTTCGAGCCAGAGGAGCTTTAAAACTCCACCAACATTACATTAAATTTAATAGCATAGGCTGTAAGTTTGTCCTTGCTTCTACAGATATCAGACACTGTTTTATAACACCATATTCCTCACATACTTGTAACACAGATGCCAGATTCATTCTTCTTATTTAGTTTATTTCTGCTTAATGCTGAGAAACACACATTTTTCTCTTGGCACTACCACTTTCTTTAAAAGCCATTGTTAAAAATCACAAAACATACTCTAAATTGAAGAAAAAAATAAAAGTGAATGGCGAGTGTATTCGAGAGTTAACACAGTAAATTGGCGCAGGTGGTATATGGTTTGGAGAAAAGTGAAAACAGGCAGGTCATGTATGTGGCTGCTTTGTCCCATACTGGAGAAACTTTGGAGTTATTGAGCTTGGTCCACTGCTTCAGAAGACAACTTGACATTATTGCCATCTACAGAATCTGGAGTTATGGATGCCTGTCCATTTTGTTCAATATTTCTGTTTGCCCAGTCAGTTTTTTTTATTACAGGTCTTCCTCAACATTTGTGAGCGTTAGGGGATCAAGAGCCTTGTGAATGTTGAAAAATTGCAAATGTGTGGTGCCCCAATATATTGTAGGGAAATATAATACAATACTGCTTCCTTAACCTACTGAACCATGAAAAATTATAAAACACATGAAAACATAATAAAATATTGTATTAGTGATAGCCCTCTGGTAAAGAAGGTGAAAAAGACTATAGAATTCAAGAAAGAACTTGTAGCAGAGTACCAAAGTGGAGGAGGAAAGAGAGAGGGGAGAAGAGGAGAATGTGCCTTCCGTGATTCTCCAATATGTACGATACTAAAGCAGCACGAATCAATGAAGGCTATAGCGCCAGCCAGCAGTAAAGTGTAGCATTAACAGTATAGCAAGTAAGTTAAGCGATTAATAGAAAAAGGGCAGCATGAACCTAACTCCTCCAATGTTGTTGGAGTTATATAGGGCAACTGACAACGCCGCTGTCTCTACTGCATCGGTTGCTGCCTTCTCCAATATTATGTAGGGTTTATGATCTCAGTGGCCCATACACACCCAACAACAACGCAACAACACTCGTGACATGCATGTACTTAATGACATATATTATTCATTCTAGAGTATATGTCATGTTTCTATGTTATTAATATTGTTTATTATGTCATGTTAGATGAATTGTGATAGATAAATAAGCTGTACAGTTGATATTAGTGTCATATTGAAGGACTATCTTGTCCTGTCTCCAAACAAACACTGCCACCGCCACAATTCCTAACGTATGCAATGACATATTTAAATATGATTGAGCGGCTGGGAATTCGTGAATGTTCGAAGCCCGGGAAAGTGGAAGGAGCAAATGTTGAGGGAGACCTGTATTTTTTTTTTTTTTTTTTAAATTGCTGCAATCCATTAAAGGTCTATAAATGGTATGTTTGTATGAGACTAAAATCCTATCATTAGGTTTTATTAGTGTACACAGTATAGTACTTTTTTTTTTTAACGTGTCAGGTGTTCCCCACCGAGGCAGGGTGACCCAAAAAAGAAAGAGAAAATAAACTTTCATCATCATTCAACGCTTTCACTATCACTCATACATAATTGCTGTCTTTGCAGAGGCACTCAGATACGACAGTTTAGATGTCCCTCCAAACTGCCAATATCCCAAACCCCTCCTTTAAAGTGCAGGCTTTGTATTTCCCATTTCCAGGACTTGAGTCTG